GCTTCCATTAGTCTGTAAGGAGTACGTGCTATTTTTCTCATACTCAGAAAATTTTAACATTTCATACAGTGACTTCTACTATTGCTCCTTAATCAAAGGCAGAAAGATGACAGTAAATGAGTTTCAATGAGGAAGCTTGTTTCGCTCACATACATTTTTACATGGAGTAACAGGTGAGGTGAAGGACGTTTGTAAAGCGGGGCATTCGTGTTTTTTTGAACTACCCTGGAACGCGCTGAGCTTTACCACGTTTGCCACGGAGCCGGGTTCCACTCGCTGGCAGCTTTACAGGAGAGTTTCATTTTGTTGTGGTTGTTAAAAAGAAAAAAAAATCTCATCCTTCAGTCTTTCAAAGAAAGCTCTTCTGTGTTTAAATGTATGCTTTCTTCCTATTTGATTCTTATTCTCGTGCACTTGTTTTCTTCGTAAAAAATGTGTGTGGCACTAATTTACCTTAACTAAGAACATTTCGGTCATTATGGTAATGCTTTCCTTTTTCTTTTTTAAAGAAAATTAAAAATAGCAAAACAAACAAACAATACAAAACAAAAAACCCACATTAGAGATGATACAGAATTTCACTAAACAAAGTGATAGGAATTCAATAATGGCTGTTCTGTTGCATATTATTGTCTTCAAATTAGTTGTTCATATTACCAGGTATAAGAATGCAAAACTGGTCAAAAAAATTAGAGGAAGAAGAAAATCAATTTAAGCATTAACTGTTCCTTTCAATAGACCAGTAGAAGTCAGAAGTGTAATTGTATAATTATTGAAGCTATTCTGTGTATATACATACATATTTTTTCCCTTTTCTCCTTTTTCTTATCCCAGTTATTCCTTACTTTTGAACAGTTTCTTTCCCTTTCACAGTATCTATTGTACCTTTCAGATTTTATTTACTCTTTCAGGTTCTTACACTAGGTAGCATGTCCTGAATCTACAAAATGAATATTTTTGGAGGACGGGGGTGTTGGGACGGCTCAGCCTGCCCTGAGGGTGGGGCTGGTGTGGCATGTGGTGCCCAGGATGGAAGACACTTTAGACTGCTGAGCTATCTCACTGGCCCCTTGCAAAATGTATTTTAAGTAGGTACAAACTGTATAATTTTCTCACAACTCACCTATGACTTTCTTTTTTGAGCAGATGAGCTTCTGGAGAGGGTTAATGTTTTGTCCAGGTAGCCTCAGCTTGGTGGATGATGGAATCATTAACCAAATAAAGGTCTTTGGCGCATGGGCACTCCATCCTTTCCCCTCCCCTCCAAGAACTGTAGAGTTCTCATTATCTTTGAACTTTGAATTCAAACATGGTGTGCTGTTTCTGGATAATTAGACCTCAGTATGGTTATTAACACAGATACTAATTAGTTTTGCATCCTGAATGGAATCTTGAAAAAAAATCATCATTACTTAGAATGAAACTAATTCAGTCTTTGTGGAATATTTTTATGTTGTTATTGTTAAGAAGAATTTGTCTCTGGCTATTTAATTTTGTTCTTCCATAGCTAATATTTTTTATGTATATGCTTTAATTATTTTTTTTTCTTTACAATTTGTTTTGGAGAGTTTCATTTTCATGTATCTTGATATGATTTTGTTCAAATTTCTTGTGAAAAAGGTTCATTTTTCTTGGAAATGTGGTGCTATAATTTCAACTAAATTCAGAAATTTTAAATCTTTAAATATTTATTGCCTACCCTTCTCTATTTCAAGACTTCTAATTATATGAATATAAGTTTCTTGATTTTGGCACAGAATGAACTATTATATGACTGATCTGTAAATTCTTCTTCATTTTTATTTTGGACAATTTTTATTGTTATATTCACTTAAGTTTGTGAATAATTTATTTACAATGTGCAATCTCTTATTAATCTCATTCTGTATATCCATTGCAGAAATATTTCTCTAAAATTCACTCTGTCTACATCTCATATCTTTCACATTTCAATATTTGTCTACACTTTTTAATATGCTGTAGAAGACACTTCCAGGTCCTCATCTCTGTCCAAGAAGCCAATATTTGTAATCCCAAAGTTACGTTATTGGAATCCCATCAAGTTGATCCCAACCTACCACTTTCAATGCAACCCATGGTGAAAATAAAGACACTAGATTATATTTTCAATCACTGGGGAGTTGAGGGGCTCTAAGTCCAGCCATGAAGATGGCTTTCCAGAACCAAGAGAGCGACCCAGGGCCTCCCCCGGTTTTTATTCAGTGGGGGAGTGGCTGAGGAGGATTGACTGAGAATTGCAGGAAGAAGGTGACCATTGTGAGCTGAGCTAGGTGGGTGTCCTACAATTACCTCTGCCATATGCAGAGACAGTAATCTGCATTATGCTATTATGCCATTGAGATAGCATCTAATGTTTTGGGGGGTCTGGTGCTTCAGCTTTGATGTAGTCTTTCAAGCCCCAGGAAATCATAGCCTCTATCTCGAGGCTAAATCCCAGTTGGTGGTGCAGAGCATTGGCTCTTCCATCCTGTCTTGACCCGGCTCACATTAAAGACCAGCAGGTGTAGGTTTACCAGGAAAACCCACATGCCACCTTCAAACACTGTCACCAGCACCTCAGCTAGATCAATGCACATTGCTTAAGGCCAACTGAAGGATAAACAGAAGTCCTAGCCAGCTCTGTACAGAACAATATGAGGAAATAGGGTCAGACTCAGTCAAAATGGAGACAGTCGCTCTTCTTTCAAGAAGAGCTGCTCAGGTGGTCCTCCATAATATGCTATATAATTAATTGATTTTTCAATAAAGTTAATGAGAAAAAGAAAATGAAGGGAAATGAATATTTTATGAAGGAAACACAAAGCTTTGTGTATAATAAACAACACATAATTCTGAATAGTACAGAGGAGAATTTTTTCAAAAATTGTAATTTTCTTATATTAAAGTATGCTTCAAAAATATATTCTATAGGGGCTGGAGAGATGGCTCAGTGAAATAAGTGCTTCCTTGGCAAGTGCAAGGGAAGTTCAATCTCTGGTTCTGGGGGGGAAAATATATATGTATACATATATATATATTCTACAGTAAAAAAAGAAGAATTTGCCTCTGTAATTATTGAATGATTTGGTAATTTTTTTATCAAGGGATTTTGGACAATTTTCAAAGCTCCGCTGTCAGGAGAATGATTCGTGTACGTGTCTAAAATGAAGAAGTAGCATTGTGCTGAGGCCTTGCACGGCCAGCTTACTACTAGGGCTTCAGGGTAGCTTTCCGTCTTGCTCCCCTTCTTAATGTGCAGGTCTGGGGCTGACTCCTGATAGTACAGTCAGGGAGCCACAGCCCTAGAGCGTCCAGTGCAAGAGCAGTCTTTTGTTTTCAGCTTTGCTCCAGGCTCTCTAACTGACAGACTCTGTGTAACCATGTGGATTCACTTACGAGGGAGAGAGACCAGTACTTGGGAAGGGCAGTTTCCAATGGCTTAATTTCAGGCAAGAATTTTGCATTACTTTCAGCCCTAACCTTAAGTGGTATCTTAGAAATAAATGCCTGGGCAGAATCAATCCTAAAGCCACTGTGGAATAAGAGTTGGATATCCTGATGGATTTTAATGAGGTTCTGTTGCACATGCTTCTAAATTTTCTGGAACAAAGAAGGAAACCATTATTTCATTATCTCATGTCTCATTATCTTGCCATTGTGCCTTTTCATGCATCTTGCCAACAGGATAATAGAAATAGTATGTAATTGGGAAAATGGACAAAAATAGCAAGTCATTAAAAAGAAATAATCTTAAAGATATTTGAGAAGACCTGGATGGAAGATCTATTGAAAAATGAGCATGGATTAGGAAGATTTGTACATTGACCTGGTATATTTTCCCCTAGAGGCTGCAGCTTACACTGTAAATTTAAAGAGGTATTTGGAAGCTTTGAAAAGTCTTACATGCGGCTGCTCCTCTGATTTCTGCACTTTTATACTTTGTCCATTTTCAAAGTCTAGTCTTATCTGGTGCTGGGAATTGAACTCAGACCCTTGTGCTTGCCAGGGAAGCACTTGTTCTACTGAGCCATCTCCCTGGCCCCCTGAATTCCTCTAATTTCAAACAATCCTTA